GCGTGGTGGTTCAGTCACGTAAGGAGGACCCTGACCATGCAGTGAGGGTCTTGAACGGGATCCTAACAGTGGTAGTAGTAATAATAATAGTTAGAAAAATGTAAGAATTGTTGAAGCTCTATCAGTGATCTAGTGATTGCAGTAGCTGCAGCAGCAGATAGCAGTAGCAGGGGCGGACCAAACCTAGGGGGGTCCAGGGGCCTGCTCCCCCAGCGAGCTGTTTTTCTCTGTTGACAGCAGCTAAATGCACCATTTGTCAATCTGTTTAAAATTATATCACGCCTAAAAATCTGTACATCATTGGGGGAAAACATTATATCAATAGTAACAGTGACTGTAATAGCGTAGGAGTAGTAACAGTATTACTCACAGAAGCAGTGGTTTTCCTGTAGTAACAGTACCAGATGTACTACTCGAAGGAATGGTTTTATTTACTAGTATTAGTTGTACTACTAGAAATGTAATAGTTAAACAGTAGTATCAACACTTGTAGTAGAACACTTGTAGTGACTGCTGTTGTGGTGGTGGTGGTGGTGCTAGAAGTCGACTAACCATGAGCTCTGTTTTATTTCAGAATGTCCCAAACTTCGCTCTGATGGTAAGTGACATTTAGTTTGAATTCTTTTACTTCTTTTACCGCTCTGACAAAGAAGCAGGTGCGTCACTGGAGGAGGAAGTGTGCAGATCCTTCACTTCAGTACAAGTAGACATAGAAATACTCAATTAGCAGTGACAGAAAGAAAATAGAATTATTATCATCAAAATCTGGATTTAAATACTGTACTTTAGTACTGTGGTAGACTGTAATGAACACTGATGCCATAGTAATCAAATCATCCATGTTTTTAATTGTCATTTATATTAGTCCAGTTCATTTAAAGCTAAAACAAAAAGGCGGGAAATTGTCAACACAGCTAATGAAATCAGTAATCTAAAAATTCAGTTCAGCTAAATAAGATTCAGTTATTGCAAATTTAGTTGTCTTTTTTGCCAAATTACAAGAAACCTAAAGTATCAAGCTGTTTTGTAGCTTTATTCTGTTTCAGGTTTTATCCACTGCTGCAAAACGTGGATTTAATAAAATGGAGTGAGCAGAGGTCGGATGATAGATTTAGTATTTTAGTAAAAAATACTAATGCTTTGTTTTAAAAGCTGTTTCTGTCCGTCCCTGTTTTCAGGTTGGACTGAATGTGTTTGGTTTTTGGTGAATATTTGGACACGTCTGTTGTTTAAGCGCAGAATCAAACCAAGTCTGAGTTCTGCCTTCCTCACGTCTGCTGTCCCTTCTGTGTCTGACAGATGCTCCACAATGGCAGCTCCCCGTTTCCATCCTCCTCCTCCTCTTCCTCCTCATCGGGGTGCTTTTATTCATCTGTGGTAAATGCTACAGAAAATCAAAGAAGCAGAGTGGGTAGGTGTAGCAGTAGTAGTAATTAGCATGAACAGTCGTCTGACACCTGTTGACCTGAAGTGGTTGATGATGCATGAATGAGTGAGTGAGTCTTCAGACTGAGACTGAATGATCTTTGAAGTTTATTTGTCGTTTCAACAGAATGAATACAGCAGGAAGAAAATATCGGTTGTTTCAGGACGAGGGTGTAAAACCGAGAAACACACCGGGTAAAAACAAAAGCTGCAGCACTACATGTGAAGTCATATGGGTACATTTCAAAAGGCTGTTTCTGTTTCTGTTTCCGTTTCCAACAAGATGGCACAAAGTTAAATCTCAAGTGTACTGTTGGTTTCCCAAAGTGGGGCCTTAAAGCTGGGGTCTGCAGTTTATTTCCTTTATTTTAATCCTCTACAGTGATCAATAAATAAAATGCTCTGACACAAAAAATGAAAAGTATCTGTGGCTGCAGGACTGTAATAAGCACGGCCGGTCATTTCATTCAGTCTGAACAGTGTTGGGCAAGTTACTCAGGGATTTTGATAAGTAACTTTTGATTTATTATTCCTACAAAAAGTAGTAATATTACTTCACTTATTACAGTACTATATTATTATATTTCACTACACTTCCAAAAAAGTGATTGACAGCCTGGAAATAATTAATAAAATAATTCACTTTACTGGAACAATAATTAACCTTCAACAATCAGCCAAGCTGAAAACACTGCAGCCGCTCAGACTACATGATGCCATCCATGTGCTCTCGCTGTCGAAATATTCTTAATTTAACATTTTGACTGGCAGCCGACTTCAGCTTCATGATAAGTCTGAGATGTGTGCTGGATAGCCCTCCAATGTGTCACCTCTGCTCATTAAGGTCAACATTGTTGTTCTTCTGTTTCTTTGCTGCTGAGTTGTGACCATGGAAACACAAAGTTCAGCTGCTTCTCTCCTTTGTCCACAGAACAGAAACTCAGTCACACACAGGAGATGAATCACTCACTCTGACCGACCAGAAATGAAGGAGATCCACTGACTACCTCATTTTTTCTACTGATGATTGATAAAATACTGATGAAATTAACCCCTGCACAAATATGTATTCCAGCTCCCTTTGCACTATGCTCTCACTTTACTGTTGGCTTGCTTCTCACTGCCTACAAATGTTGTCATTTTTGTGTATATTGTATTCTGCTCCTTTCTGACACTTTAGGAAACTTACAGAAAGAAACTCCTGCAGCTGCTGTGGGGAGAGAGTGCAGGTAGAGTTTTGTAAAAAAAAATACTGAATACTTCTCTTATAAACAGGCTACATGTGCAGAAAAACAGCTGTACAAAAGCCAGGATTTACTTGCTTTATTTTATTTTTTCAGCCGGTTTGTCATTTGTTTTGCCAGCATTTACACCATTTTATACTTTCGATAATAAACATTGTTAAAAAGACTAGTGGGTGTGTGTGATGTTTTATAGATGCACAGTAGGCTAGCTGATAATATCTTTCCCTGTTGTCTATGAAGATTCTCAGTCATCCAGGTCATAGTTATCCAACGAAGGTTAAAATGAAGGGCAACTGGACTTGGTTGAAGCTACTGGAAGACGTTTCGTCCCTTATCCAAAGGACTTCTTCAGTTCTGACAGAACTGAAGAAGTCCTTAACCTTCGTTGGATATCTTTCCCTGTTGTTGCAGTAATTTGGATCTCCTCAGAAACACAGAGTTTGCCTTTCTTAATTAATCTCGTTCAAAAATCATTGAAATAAAGTAGGCCTATGTTGTTGTTATTTACATTATTTTACTTAGTTTGAATATATTGTTGGACGGAACTGATGGAGGTAGCCTATTACTGACGAGACTTGTGCATAATGATCCTTCTGATTCATAATAGTTTTTCAATGCAATGAGAGTTTCTTATTTTTGCTTAACTTCATAAACCTTAACAGCTCTGTAAAGCACATCTTGACAGCAGCGTGTCATGTCAGCGAAATCATCTGAAAGCACGGAAAGAGCAGAGTCAGACGCTGTGTAGAGATGAATATTGACAGAATATTAGAGGAACTCTTCTAGAAAGCTGCTGACTTAACTGGAAAATGGATGTACATAATAATAAATCAAATAACGAAATGACCTACTGAAACTTTCGTGGAACCATATGCATGAGTTGTTTTCATCTAAAAAATATAGTTTCTGGTTTTTGTTCTCCATAAACTAGGAGTCAGAGCTGTGCTGGGAGCAGAGAAGTTCTTTCTGGCCTGTGGAAAAGTAGCCTACATCCCTAAGGTTGAGGTCAGGGCTCTGACCGGGCCAGTCAAATTCTTCCACACCAAACTGGGAAAACTATTTCTTTATGGAGCTGGCTTTGTGCACGCGGGCATCGTCATATTGAAAGGCCAAACTGACACAAACTGTTGTCTAAAAGTGTTTGTTGTAGCATCAAGATTTCCCTTAAGAAAGCAGTCCCTGCCACACACACACACACACACACACACACACACACACACACACACACACACCATAAACCAAAACAACAACAACGTAGCCAGAAAATCAGTACGTATTTCATGACTCATTAAGTTAGTCTATGCAAAACATTTCTGGCTACTACGATCAGCTCATTTCCTTACCATTCGCTGAACGGTGAGGCAACAACACCAACCACACATCACACTCTCTCTTCATTATTCAGCTTAGTTCAGTTAGCAGTTCCGTTTCATTCTGTTTGCTTATAGTTCTTATTCCTGTGTGTAGTCCTGCTTCTGTGTCTTGGTTCTTAGATGAGTTTACATGTATGTATAGTCCGTTGTCATTTGTTCTGGTTTTTGTCCAACTGGAACATCTTGTTTTGTTTGGACTCTTGAAATCTGCCATTAATAAGTGCGTATGCGTTTTGTTTAATAAGTAATCTTAAGAACTGTACCGCTCATCTCTGGTGTCCTGCATTTGGGTAGCCTACTCAAACCCACATCACTCCACCCTGACAAGCACAGTCAATTATAGAAGCAAAAAATTATTTTGAGGTAAGAAAGGTTTTTTTTTTAACATGCCTGCTTTGTAGTTAAACTCATGATCTTTCATGCAAGTCATTAGTAGCTTCTTGGCTACAAGAGTCTGGGTTAGTTGTAACAATAATAAAAATGTTTAATTGTATTTATATGTTGTCTTTGAATTTCAATGTCTGACACACATACAGTAATGTTTTATTGTTTTATTTGTATGTTCAAATGTTAGTGTAAGACCTGTAGGCTTCTGAGCCAATAAGGCATCCAGGACCCCCATTTGTCTCCACTGTGACGATACAAGACATATGTTATTATGTTTACAACTGATAATAAGTAAGTAAGCTACTTGGATCACCCCTACACGCACACACACGCACACGCACGCACGCACACACACGCACAAATTTAGTAAAAATCAAATAATCAAGTGTTGAATAAAATTTTTCTATATCATATTTTTCTCATTCCTCATTACACAATGTTACATTTCATCTCAGGGTATGTTACAACTAACCCAGACTGTGGGGTGAATTGTAACGTTTTCCGCCGTGTTCCTGAATAAAAATAATTTAAAAAAAGAGACAGTGCTGCAACTTCCGTGGATCACGCAATCCAGGAAGCCCTTCCTGGAATCAGCTGGCTGAACCCTGCACGTTTTTTTTTTTTGACTGGATTTTATGTCTCTGAAGGAAAATACTTTGCTTATAAATCAGGAAAATGGTATATTCTTCGAAGATGTTGACCTTTGAGGACCTCTCTGCTGCTTCGGGACTTTTTTCGAGCGGATTATTGAGGCCGAACCTGAAAATCAAAAGTGAAACCGTTTCTCTCTTCTTCGTATTTAAGTCACAATTCCGACATTGCATAATTGTTTTTGTTTTTGTGTGTGAAGCTATTTTTTCTACATATAGTTTTGCGAAGCTGCGTCGTTGTTTTCTCTCTGGAACATGTTTTTTAATGATTGACGCATCGTTTCGTCATAAGCAGCGGGCTCTTCTGCTGCTGAGGCCCCAGGTAGAGAGGAGGGAGGCGGACACGAGCAGAGCCGGAGCGGCCTCGGCTGAACCCCCGCCAGAGGACCGAAAACGGGACAAAATAGTCACAAATCATAAATAGAAATAATCCGTGTAATTAGATTTTTATTTTAAATTAAATGTTAGTGATTTTAATGGAAATATTGGTGCCACTTAATAGCATCGGTGACTTTAGGGTGAAACTTATTACAGAGATGTGTAGGCTATAAAATGTCAGGATATTCTGCGAATAGACAAATTGACTTCCCATGCACGCATTCCAACGCGTTATGTTGACCTGGGGCGAGTTCAATCTCAAAACGTTTTGCACCGGTTTGTAACATTTTCGGTTTCCTTGCAACGTTCTGCAACGGGCTTCGAGGTGTGTTTGATCCCGTTTGGTGATCGTGAATCAGGTGTTACCCAAGCAGCTCTTAAAAGTATGTAAATACAACGGCGTTAAAAAGGCAGGGAAATGCAGTTGGCTTGCGTGTGTCTTTTTGTTTTTTGGTCCGTCCCACATTTGAGGCAGTGAGGGACACACTGGCCACACATGCTCAGCGATTTTTCCAGACAAGCGGGGAAAGCTGCAAAACAAGGTGGGTAAAATATCTTATACGGTGCTTCAAAATGAACTCTCAGTTAGAAAAATAACAGTTAACAGTGGTGCAGTTTGTCAGGTGAGAAAAGAGGAGAGGGATGTTAAAAATCACCTGGATTTGATTGGTGATCGGGCTCTAGTTTAGCCCCAGTTCGTGCCTCTCGTGTATCAGCATGCATTTAAGGCACTAGATAATAGAAAGATAAATAACCGGCGGTAAACTGGTCACACACGGGAGGATGTAGGGCTGATCCATTAGCAAAAATCATGTCATGAAATATTTTGGTCAATATTGAGATCACGATTATTAGACAGAATACGGTAGGCCCACAGGTTTTTGGATGGCTTAAACATCATTTTATGTAGGATATGCATAAGGATTCTATCTCACATATCTATAAAAACAAAATAGCCCATTAAATAAGAAATATTAACTTTTAGCAGCAAGAGGATGACTGATCTGTTTCGGTTGGCTGCGTTGGGGGTGTCCAGTTCACGTGCGGTTGTGCGACTTCTGTTCGGTGTGACGCACCGTTTCGCGCCTCATTCACTCTGATGAACAGCGATCCAAGCAGATACTGAACGCATTCATCAGAAGTTTATGTCTTTAC